AGCCGTGCAGAGAGGGGCACCCTTTCCCAGTGTGCAGAGATGTGAGGGCACGTCCAGCCCACTCCCCCCTCACCAGCCGTGCAGAGAGGGGCACCCTTTCCCAGTGTGCAGAGATGTGAGGGCACGTCCAGCCCACTCCCCCCTCACCAGCCATGCAGAGAGGGGCACCCTTTCCCAGTGTGCAGAGATGTGAGGGCACATCCAGCCCACTGCCCCCTCACCAGCCATGCAGAGAGGGGCACCCTTTCCCAGTGCGCACAGATGTGAGGGCACATCCAGCCCCCTCCCCCCTCACCAGCCGTGCAGAGAGGGGCACCCTTTCCCAGTGTGCACAGATGCACCCAGCGCTGGCTCCGCGTCCTGATCTCTTCTGACTCAAGCACAACGTGGCTTTTGCGACAGCCGGTCTAGCGTTGTGTTCTGACTAGAGCCTCCAGTCCTCCCGAGGTGAGTGTAGAATCCTCTCCGTGCCCCTGGGATCCCGTTGTCACCAGAGTAGAGCAAGGCCGAGTGCTTGCTGCGGTGGGTACCCGGGTCCTGCTCCCACAACTTCCCGATTTACGTACCTTTACCCCACAGGAAAGGTTAAACTTCGGGGAACCACTTGAGACGTAATAAGTGCCCCCAGAATGCTTGAGAGCCGGTGGGTAAATTGTGAGACCTAACTACAGCTGGTTTCGTTCTGTGAGAACCTAAATGTCTGAAATTTTCCATCAAGACAGAAAATGAAGACAGAGACTGAGTTCTAATTAACCCCTGAACCCCGAGTCATTTCCCCCTCAAGTCTCCAACCACGCGCTCTTGCCCCTTCCCGCCTGCCTGCGCTCCCCTGACTGCCGGGCACCAGGACAGCCCCTGCCCCATCGGCCCTGCAGGGGGAGGTGGCGCGGGGCGCCGGGAGCCGGGCTCCTCCATGTTTCCTCAGAAGTGTTGGTGGAGGCCCCCCGCTTCTCTCCCTGGCAGTTCTCTTCCACCTGAGAAACAGGGGGCTTAGGGATGAGGAGGCCCTCCGGCCACCCCAGCAGCACGGCTCCCTTCGAACTTCATGGGCACCCAGGCTCGGTACAGGTCGGCGTTTCAGGTGCTCTGCCGATCCATTCACATGGAACCCTCCTCGTCACCACGTGGCAAATGAGCCTGAGAGAGCTCAAGCCACTTGACCCAAGGCCACACCATGGCCTCCCCTGGTCTTCAGAACCTGTGTCCCGCAGGCTGTCCCCTCAGCTGCCCCCAAGTCTGTGTGGCAGCCGCGTAGTGTGCTTCGGGGCCTGCACCGTCTCTGGGGCAATCCAGATGGCTCTGCCTGAGGTCCTGAGCAGCGACAGCTGTTTCCCGGGAGGTCCAGGCAGGCACCACCGGCCACGGCTTTTCATGTTCAGGGTGATGCCTTTGGTCCCAGAGGCCCAGGCAGTGGGTGCGCTCCTCAGCCGGGCGAGCACCCCCAGACCATGGCAGGGAGCGAGCCCCGCCCCGGAGCGTGGCTTCCCCAGCTCCCGGACGGTGCAGCCGGGGACCAGCCTGCACTTGAGAATGGAAATGAGAAGTCTCTGGCCACTGGGCACCTGAAACATAATTTGCTCTGTGCACATCCTGTTTGTTATTTTTTTTAATTTTAAAAACATCAAGAATAATGAGTCTTCTCTACTTTATCAGATAATCCCACTAAATTTGGGTTATTTTTTAAAGCGATATCTATCTTTACCCTAAATAGAAAACCCTATGACGGCCCCAAGGCTATCTTGCCACAGTTTACTCTGGCACAGAAATCTGATTCTCTTCCCATAAAGTCGAAAAGAAAGAGTTGGGTTGTATATATGCTTTCGAATTTGGTTCAGGGTCGAGTTACGATCACTGTGCTCACCTGGTAGTGCAGTGACAGTGTGCGGTAACACAGCAGATGGTTCCTCAGTGGGCTTCAGAAAACAATGAGCCTACTTCCAGCAAAGAAACAGTCACAGACACCATAGCATGGCACACCACCTAAACCAGCACACAATGCGAAAATACTAGGTGTACGTCCATTGTCCTCAAAAGAACGGGGGGTAACACCTCCACTTACATTCCTAAGCAGAAAGCCGTGGTATGAGATGCTGGCAGACTTTTATGTTTGGTGTGGTCTGAGTTTTAAGGCTCATTATAATCTCAGTAATCAGGTGAAGGAAGTTCAAATTTGGGAACGGGCAACAATGTCAGAAAAGTGATACTGAGTGTTTGATAATTGCAAAAGAAACATTCTGCAACCTGGAAGGCCCTCTTACCTCATCTCCACCCCTCCGGCCTCCTGCTGCAGCATCTGTATCCCTGCCAGCAGCTAATTCCGGAAAAAATCCCGGAAGCAACCTGATTAGGCCTGGCAGGAAGCTATCTGAGGAACTTAATCTTCTAATCACATTCAGATCTGACCCTATCCATGCAGGCCCAACCCATGGGCCACCCTTTCCAGTACCTAGTTCCCCGATCACTGTCACGTGGTAGGAAGAGTGCACCCGGCTTTCCTCGGCCGGTCAGAGTGGAGCCGATTCTGCCCTGGAGCCCCGAAGCCCGGGGGGCCATGGGGAGATGGCTGGGTCGTCTCAGTGGATCCCCTAGAACTCCATGCGAGCGGCGCGTGTCTCTTGTATTTGTCACTGTGTCTGTCTGTGTGGAGGAAGGGCCAGAAGCTATTATCAGATTTTAAGGGGCTTGTGCACAGATTTATAAAAGCATGCAGAAGGTGGGCAACTCCAAAGTATTTCACCCAAAATAAAAGTGATCACAGCAACTACCTTTGCCGGTAGCGTCTCTGAAGCAGCCCGCTGCCTTGGATTTAGACAGCCGTGGCAAATGCTACCTTTAGTTTGTGTTTAAAAAAATGTATAAGTGCTCTGAAAAATATTTTTTCAACTTGGGAAGAATATTTCGGACATACGTGAGAATAACCTAGGGTATCGTAAAGTATTCTCAGAAGGCACCTTGAGGCCTCCAGCATTTCTGATAGAGCCAGGACATCTGGGAGGAAAGAGGAAATCCAGTCCGGCTTCCCAATGTTTCGTCTGCATCAGTGGCTTTCAGCTGGGGGCCGCTTTCTACGCTGGTCCTTAGAAATCTACAGGGCTGCTCAAACTGGACGGGCTCACCGCCGAGGTGCTGGCGTCGCTGTTTGAGCTGGGCCTAGGCCAATGTAATTTTTTTTTAATCCTCACTGGAGGATATTTTCCCGCTTATCTTCAAATAGAGTGGGAGAGGGAGAGAGAGGGAGAGAGAGACATCGATGAGAGAGAGACATCTCGACTGGTTGCCTCCAGCACCACCCTGACCAGGGCTGGGGACCGAACCGAAACTGAGGTACCTGCCCTTGACCAGAATTGAACCCACGACTCTTGGGTCTGCGGACCAACACTCCAACTGCCAAGCCAGCTGAGCAGAGCATAGACCTCTGTGATGTCACAGCTCCCGGGATCTGCTGTGTGCGCTGGGCTGGGGACCTGCGGAAGCGCTGAGCTCCCTGCCTGGCACATGGGCCAGGCTCTGCAGGGCACTGCTGTGGCCACCACCGGGACCACTGCCTGCTCCGCCCTGGCTCCCCCGCACCAATGCTGCATCCCTCCCGCCCCGGGGTGGGGGGTTTGAATGTAATAAGCACAGGGAATTGGTTGCAATTTTCATTTTTCTTACAGATTTTAAAAGTCCCACAGATACCGATTTAGTCACAAACTTTACCTTGAAGAGCAAAGCCATAAAGTTCTATTCTTGACTATAGAGCCTTCTTCCCTCGTCCCCTTCCCTGTCACGAGGAAGGCTCATCTCCACGTGATATTCCCCATATTACACGGTCTGCGTGAAGAAATAAGGTATAACAGTGACTGGGTTGTTGTATAGAAAAATCATTAACCGTTAAATTCCTTTTTAAGCAGTCAAGCTAAGTTAACAAATATTTCCGGGGCCTTGGCTGGATTTTGGAGTAGAAAGTGGGTAGAACGCGCGGTGAACGAGACAGACTGCCCCGCCCCAAGCGTTGCCGCCTCAAAGCAGCAGAAGCTGAGCCTCGCCACGTGCCAGGCAGTGTGCCGGCGGCTTTGTGTGTGTTATCCCATCCTGCCCCTCACTGTGAGGAGAAGCTCTTATTACTGTCTTGTTCCCGAGTTAGGGTTTCTGCAGACCCATCCGTTTGGGTTGCACAGCCCTAAGCAGACAAGCTGGGGCTGGGGCTGCCCGGCCGCCTCCGGCCCTGCGTGGGCGCTGGGGGCGCACCGTCCCAGGGCTGTGGCTCGGGACAATGCCGATGACAGCCTTCTACCTTGGGCGCCCCGGAGAAATGTCAGGCAGCCCACAGCCAAGGACACAAGCCCAGAAAGGCTGAGGAAGTCACAGACCCCACCGCTAGGAAGTGTGGAAGCTGGCATTGAACCCTGGCATCTCCTGCCGAACACCTGATCCTCCTGAGATGTTTATGGGTAAACTCACCAGTTAGCCTCACCGCCCGGCTCAGCTGCGGGGGCTGCAGATGAAGTCTCTCCTGACTATGTGAGAGTCCAGCTTCCTCTGCTTCGAGTTCAACAGTGAGGGCTCCTTGTTTGGACAGCTCTCTTTACGTGTCTCTAATAGTGAGCAGGCACAAGCCCCCTGGAGCACTTCCTTCCTCTGGGAGTCGGGAAATCCCCCCCTGGCAGGAATCTTGAGCCTACCCAGAAGCAGAGTTCGCTGCCCTCACCAGGAAATCTTTTACTGCACCAAATGCATCTCCACCTCCTGCTGACAGAGAGCAGCCAGGCTATTAACCTGAGCTCTAATTAGGGTGGTTTTTATAATGAGGAAAAGAGTGTGAGTCTAATTAGTAATTTTCCATCTTTTTCTTAATAGGTAACCCCCAGTCAAAGCAATAAACTGTCCTCATTGCACGGGTTCCCTTGCCAGAAATAATCTTGCCGCCAGACAGAAGCAGTGACGTGTTCAGGACACAGGAGAGCGGAGAGGTCCTATGTGCTGCTAACGGCTGCGTTCTCCCCACACTGGTTTCCTAGGTCCGTGGCCCTCAGATGGTCGGTTCTGACATGGTCGTGACTGTTGAGTTCACCAATCCTTTGCAAGAACCCCTGAGAAACGTGTGGATGCGCCTGGATGGTCCCGGAGTGGTAAAACCGATGACGAAGCTGTTCCGGTACGGGCAGCGGGTGTGGGGCGGTGGCGTGGAGCTGTGGGGGGTTTTCTCTCTCTGTCTTTTCCAAGCTTACATCTAATTCCCAGTGAAAACGTTTGAGAAGCTGCTACTTCCTTACTGCTTTCTGTGAGGCCTGGGGTGAAAACAGGGTTGGCTTGACTGGCACTTCTGCCATTTAATCCCTAAAACCACCCAAATGAGGTGGGTGCTGTTGTTGTCTCCCTCCCTTGGGAGAGGACTTTGAGGTGTTTTGCAGTCCGCTGGTTTGCCCAAGGTGCACAGCTTAGCAGAGTAGCACCGAGATTCAGGCTCAGGGTGGCTGATGCAGAACCCACGTTGCAAGCATTTTGCCACACTGCTGCCTTGCGTATCCGTTCTGACATTCATCGAGTACTGACTGTGTGCCAAATACGATGCTATTCCTTATGTTTCCTCTTCTTGGATCCTTTCTTTCCAACTCCACCACCCAGACTGCACCAGCCAGGCACTCGCTAGGACGACTGCTTTAGCAGAATAGAGGTGAGTTCTCGACTGGTTCCCGGGTCAGGGACAGTGACCACCCAGGCTCCGTACCAATATAAATGAAAGTCTGCTTCATTCACACCTAGAACCATCAGCCAGTGTGACACAGTTCTCAGCTTCTGTGACTGCTACTGACACTGTCACCCCCAACACAGACCGGAGTGGTCAGGGAGCTCTAATTGTTAGAAAACAACTGTACCCTTGATCCTACCTATCACCTGAACTCTGTGCTCTGGACCTACACATAGAACACGGCCCATCTCTCTTGAATCTGATGCTGCAAATGTTTGCAGACAGCTATCACGTCTTCCCGAGTCTTCTCCAGACCCACCCTGACTCCGTGCCCCCACCTCTGATGCGGCGTTAGCTCCCTCCCTCTCCCGCACACTCCCGTTTGTCAGCGCTCCTCTGAGAGTGACGCCCAGAATGGATCCCAATCTGTGAGGTGTATTACTTTCATTTCTACCACAAATAAGTCCCTGTCAGGATCAATCAATCTGGCAAATTTCCTGTGGGGTGACCTTCGAAGGTATAGAAAGGGAGGTGGAGGGCTTTGGAAACTGCCTGATGACCAGATGAGTTAGGAATTTTCCAGTGGCCTTTAGGGAAGCGGCCCTGCTCTGTGACTGGAGCTCAGCTTCAAGGCCTCCTCCGCCCCTTCTGGGGCCCCTTTGAAAACCAATTTGCCCACTAAAGGCTCCCTGCATTTCTTTCAAATTACAGTGCTCACGGCTTCTGCATCCCATCGTTTAAGAGATGCCTGATGCCAGTGGATGCAATAAACAGCAGAGAAAAAATTTAAGTGCCTTTTAAAAATGCAAGCACAAAACATAACAGCCTTCCTGTGCTAATAGGAAACTTTCAGAAGAAGAAAAAGAATTGAATTAGAAATCAGCCCTAGCTCGAGGGAGAGGTCAGCAATAACAGTCCTGCTCTCGCCAGGAGCGATAGTCTCACTCACTCCTCGCGCCTTCCCTCTGGAACCAGACGCAAGAATCAGGCAGGTCAAGTGCAACATGTCTCTTCCTCAAAACAGACGCTGCTGCATTCACCTCTTCCTTCTCCCACGGTAACCCCACAGGCTCCGTCAGAGGGGGCCTTGCACCTTTACCCTTGGCTGTGCCAAGAATCCCACCTTGATTGAAGGCCAGTATGAGAAGAAACAGTATGTGTGTGTCAGAAGAAAGATGAATGCTCACACTGTACAATGACCCCGTTTGCGAGGTATAAGACTCAAAGCAGGTGCACTTTTATTGTTAATACCTGACACTCAGGTGGGCAAAGTGGGGTGAATCAAAGGAAGGATGAACGAGGCCAGTCCCTACATGGGCACTAGGCAAGTGTCCCACCCATACTGTGCCCTGAGGTACTACTACTAGTTGCTTCAATACATTGGTCTGTGGCAGACAGATAACAGACAGAACGCCAGGTCCTCAGTCTCGTGGGAATTCAGATCCAGGAGTGGACCCTCCAAAGCCAGGGAAGCTTTATTTCTCAGAGAGAGCCAGAAATTGGAAAATATCTATTATCTAGGGTGGGCTTGGGACTTTGGAGAGAGCACTACTTTGTCTGTTTCCTCCTGACTCCAGCACACACCTTCGCCTCCAGGACCGGCCCCACACTGTCAGGTACTCAGGAACGCTGCAGTGTGCCCTCTGCCGCCGAGAGCTGATCTGAGAGTGGCAGGTCTGCACAACGTGCACACTCAAAAAGGGCCGTTCTGTAGAGCGAGAACCCTTCACAGGGCTGTGTTCCTTTCTGGGACACGCATCCTGAACAGTCAAGGGAGCCGCCACCCCGCCGTCCACCCACAGCCCTGCAGGGGCCTCTCTGGCTCATGGCAGTGGGTCTGGAAGGTGGGAGCTGGTGAGCAGGGACTTGAACTAGAACGAGAAGGCAGTGGGTGTCGTGTCTCGTTCCTTCATCAGGGACAAGCCAAGCCCACCCCGAGAAGGTTTACTGTCCTGCTCTTCCCCCACCTCCTCCCGCAGACTCTCAGCTTTCAAGTTTCTGCATTTGATATTCCCAGGACATCAAATAATTCATCTTCCAGATTCATTTTTCTCTTTTAAAAATGATCAGGTTCAGGGAGTTATTTCAAGAGAAAAGTTCCCTGACTTTGTGATTTGGGTTTAAATTTTGAGTTTTTCAAGTAGGACAGAAGCTGAGGGCTAGACCCACGGAGGACAAACCACAGAGAGTTGCAGTTCAGTGTAATAATAATCCCATTTGCCTGCATGTGTTCAGGATGATAAATGGCCAGCCTACCCCGATGGCTCAGCACATTACTGAGAACCATTTATCACCGCATCTATTCCCAGGCAAATACGATTATTCCAGTATTACTCCACTTATCAAGATGGGTAGAGGATTTATTTCTCTCTTGCTGTATCTGTTTATCTGTAGGTAAATGCATACTTAGACATGCATGTGTATCTTCATGCATGAGTATCCGTGTGACATACATGATGAGTGTACATGTATGCATGCATGAGACACGGGTGTGCATATCACTCTGGACGAGTTTAGGAGTCAGCGCAAACAGTGAAGTAAAGCTCAGAGACTGTCGTGTCTGTGTGAGGTCGTCACCCGCACTGCATGGCTCCAGGCAGATCCTGGAGCAAGATGACTGTTTCACAAAGTGTTTCTGATTGATCACTTGGGGAAACCAAGAAGGGAAAATGAATGGATGAGGGTAAAAATAGTACAGTTATTGAGAAATAAATATCTCAAAACGGATATTCCTATTAAATTAATCACTGCAAATTAAGGCTGGAGAGCTGTCATTCCGCGTAGCGGCAGGAGGCGCCCACGGCCCTGAACCGGGCAGCAGGCCCGGCGGAGCGTGCGGCGACCACGGAAGTGACTGTGGTAAGGACAGAAACAACACCACATTCCTGACACTCGGCACTCACGTGCTTTGCCGTAGTTCTAAGCACAGCACAGATATAAGCTCTTCACACCCTGTTCAATATTCCACAGTGTCTGCCTTTTACAGGTGAGAATACCCATGGTGAGGTCAGTGATTGTTAAACCTTGAATCATAAAAATAATTTACTGAGTTTGAAAACTGCATATATCGGTTATGTGTGTGTACTTTTCACATAGTTTGGCTTTTATATCACTGGTGTAAAGAATTTATGTAGCCCCGCTGCTGTGACTCAGTAGTTGAGCGTTCACCCCTGCCCCAAGAGGTCGCTGGTTGGATCCCCGGTCAGGGCACATGCCCAGGTTGTGGGCCCGATCCCCAGTGGGGGCGTGCAGGAGGCGGCCAAGCGATGCTCTCTCTCATCGATGTTTCTATCTCTCTCCCTCTCCCTTCCTCTCTCTCTAAAAATCAATAAAGAAAAATTATTTTTAAAAAAGAATTTATGTAGTCACGTTTATAAAGAACAAAAATTATGAAAAGTATTAGTGAATATCAAATTAATTGAGACACTTAGACTCTCAGTGTAAAGTCAGTGCCTAGAGCAGCCCAAAGAGGTTCCGAGGCCTTGGAGGCCTGTTTCAGCTCACTGGCCACAGACCCAGAGAAAGGGATTTCTTATTCAGTGTCTGGATTTCTAGGATTTGAGCCCTTTCCCCTTTTTATCCCAGAGAATACACCCACAGCCAGTTGAAATATATATAGTTTTAGTGACATTTGAGGAAATCTTTCAGTTGCAACTTTAAATAGAATCGGTCAAGCATAAGTACGCGGCCCCAGGTTTCTCCTTGACCTTGGCCCTGTCCAAAGTGACAGTGTGGCTCCAACCCCCAAGACAATGGGAGCTCATGAGGCTGAGGCCCTGGCGCCATCCCAGACTCTCCTCCACAGTTCTTCCTTGCGGACCCTCCACCCACCCTGAGTCTGAAGCTACAGTGTGACCCCAGATCCCTGGTCCCTCCAGGTCCCTCCGTGGTGCTAAGGAAGTGCCTTCCTGCAGCCCGTGAACCTGTCTCTCTGCCCGTCTATCCACAGGCTTCCTCTGCACAACACGCTTCTCATTTCTGCACACAAGCGCCCTCACTAAGTCCTCGGCCTGTCTCTCCTTCCATCGGCTGGGCTGTCGGCTCTGTGACCGCGGAAACTTCCATATGCCCCTTTGTATCGCACTTTCCTCATCTGCAGAATGAGGCCACTGGACTAAGTGCTTTCCAAACGCTACTGTGCCTCAGTACCCCGTGAAGATAGTCAGATCATCATCCTTCTTTCCAAGACAGCATGGGGTCTCCACTCACCCCCCAGGCTCTCCCAGAAAAGCCGGCCAGGGCCCCAGGCTGAGCCACCGCACGTGCCCTCCCTGAGGGAGCACAGACCAGGGGTCCTCTAGGAACAGCCGCGGCAGGAAGCCCCTGGCCCCAAGTGGAAAGAGTCTGCCCGCTTGAGGAACCAGCACGAGGGGGCGCAGGCACAGTGATCGGCAAGTCACGTTCGCTCAGGGTCTGTAGTGTGACAGCCAGGACCAGGAAGGGCGTGGACTGGGAACCCAGGTAAACCGGGCCAAGTCTCCTCTCTGCCCGTTCACAGCTCTGTGATCTCATAGATGTTGCTTCACTTGTTTAATCTTCCATTTTTTAAAACTCTAAAATGTGTCAAATAGTATCTACCTCAAGGGACTATCATACACCTAACACCTGCCACCATGTCCTCCCAAGCCGAGGGTGATGTGAGGGAAGCACCCAGAGAACTCCATCCGCCCACCCTGCCTGGCCCGGGGCGGCCTTGGCCATGGGTCGGGAGGCCCCGGGCCTGCCGCAGGGGAGGGAGAGCACCGGGCCTGCCACAGGGGAGGGAGGGCACCGGGCCTGCCGCAGGGGAGGGAGGGCACCGGGCCTGCCGCAGGGGAGGGAGGGCACCGGGCCTGCCGCAGGGGAGGGAGGGCACCGGGCCTGCCGCAGGGGAGGGAGGGCACCGGGCCTGCCGCAGGGGAGGGAGGGCACCGGGCCTGCCGCAGGGGAGGGAGAGCACCAGGCCGCGCGGGCCTGGCCCAGCTGTCAGCAGGCAGCAGCCGAGAGGCAGGGAGGAGCACGGGAGAGGTCCCGGGCGGGCACCTGGGGCAGGGTTACAAATTACAGAGCTTGCAGACACCCAAAGTCAGCTGGCAGCGGGCAGGGCCGTGACCTTGGGCCTGGAGAGAGGTCTGTCCTAGGGGGGCCGGTAAGAACTAATCGGAGTGTCCGCCCCTCAGCACAGGCGTCCAGGGGCTTCAGTTCAGAGTTGAGTCCTAGGCGGAATGAGAGCCAAGGCAGATCAGTCACATTCAGGAGGCGACTGTGCCGGCTTGGGAACCAGTTAGAGCCCAGCGAACTCGTGGCCTGCAGGGCTGAGCCCAGCTCCACCCTACGGCGTGGACCACACACAGTGAGAGCCGTGCTGATGCATTCCGGAGGCAAACCGTGGGACTGGCGCTGGCGGGCGCTTGCAGAGCCTCATTAGGGGCCTCCTTTGGGCTGTAACTGGCAGAACCAGCCAGTCTTCTAGGCGCCAACAACCGAGAGAAGAGAGCAGGGGTTCTCACCGCCTCCTGATCAAGGTGGCAACTGGGTCTGTCTCTGCAGAAGTAAAACCTTTCCTCTCTTTTCATCTTTCAGTGAAATCCAGCCCAACTCCACTGTGCAGTGGGAAGAAGTGAGTCGGCCTTGGGTCTCCGGCCCTCGGAAGCTGATAGCCAGCATGACCAGTGACTCCCTGAGACACGTGTACGGCGAGCTGGATTTGCAGATTCAGAGAAGGCCTTCTGTGTAAATGCACAAGAGGCTGAGATGGGCCCGGGCACTTGGCCTCTTGTAGTCTTGGCTAAGGAAATGCTAACGCAGAAACAGTCAGCTCTTGCTTTAACTTAGATGCGAAGACCCAGACCGGCCTGGATGAGGTGCCAGGGTGGGGATGCGTGTATTTCAAAGACGTACTTTCCTAAATTCAGGCTACTCAGAGTGGAAGTTAGTTTTTAATCACTCCACCTTCCAAAGGATTTTGAGGATTAGCTTTAATTAAGCCCTAATTAAGCTCTCATAGCTCATAAGAGTAAAAGTCATCATTTATCATCACAAATGGCTGCAGCTTCAAATATCAGAGGACTTCCCTTAGCAAGGGGATTTGCTTAATACCTGGCCTCATGTAAAACAAGACTTCTGGTCCCCCACTCAGCCTTTTATAAGGGTAACATACTCCCCCAAATGAAGGGGAACATCATTCGGGCCCTAACATTCTGTTCCCATTTCTCAGAAGCAGGCTCTGTGTCAGAACAGTTTTCCCATGGATTGAGTTCAACATCATCTGTCTTCTTGGCAAAGCTGCAGAAAGGTCTTTCATCTCGCACCTGCAGCAAAGCAACTACCTGCCAAATTGCACAGCTTTGCGTGGTGAGGAAATGTGGCCCCACATTAACAAATTGCATTTGTGAGAAACTTAATCACCTAAGAGGAGCTAAGCAAGCAGGTGCAATACTCAGATCTATTAAATAATGTAGTTTTATGGTGCATTTTATAAGAGGTATCACACCACGGCCTGACAGCAGGAACCAATAGCCCTTACTTTAACCTTTTCTGGGCTGCGGTGCAAGCATCTCTCAGAGGCATTGCAGGTTTGTCTCCAGACCACCACAATAAAGCAAATATCCTAACAAAGCAACTTGTAATCTTTTTGCTGGTAAAGGATCTTGCCTTCAATTTGTACAAAAATACAAGGATGCCTGTACTAGAAAGTAATGAGTCTAGCTTGGGACAGGAATGAGGAATTAGTCTCTTTAACTGGTAATTACACTTCACCTGTCTCTCTGGGATCATCTTTGCATAATGATGCTGGCCCAGATACATTTTCAGAAATAAAATAAGCCCAACAATTTGGAGAAGCTGGCAGATTTAGTGACCAAACACATGGGAGGATGGGCAGCTGTTAATTCTCTCTTGTCCTTCACAACACCCATGTTGAGACCTCAGCTCATCACTCAGGGGCTGAGAGGTGATGTGGACTCCACCCTGCAAATAGCCAGTAGCGCTGCAGACCCTGTGAGAGAAGATGTTGACATCATTTATATTGTGCTCCAAGGTTTCAACGGACAAGACTGCCTGGTATTTATTTGCAAAGCTGATTTATGGTCAGAATTACCCACTGATATGCCTAGGGTATGATTTAGGTCAATAGATTGTGATTCTTAATGAATAAGCAAAAAGCAGAAAGAAACCTGAGGGAGAAACCGGAGTGGAAGTCTTGGTCTATATAACCGCATTTCTAAGCCTTTGAGACTGTTTCTGAGCCTTTAGCCCGGGAAGCCATGAGGGTAGCTGGTCCCTGTGAGCACGTCATGCTAACTCTGTACGTGATCTCCCAGCACTTACCAAGCCTTCCGATAGCCAATCTGAAAGTTAAATGCATTTTGCTCGACTGTTAAACTGACTTAACATAGCATATTCTTATTAACAAGAATGTAATCAAAGCTTAAAATAAAGCGAATCTGATTGTATTTGCCTCTGCACAGACGCGCTGCCTTGACTGTTCCGTACAACGTACTACTACTCACAACTGCTCAATGGATCCCCTTCACAGTAGGCAACCCACCTGACAGGAAGACAAGCATTTCTCCTTTCAAAACAATGACTCTGCTGGAACTGATGTCGCAGGTAGCTTTCCTCACTGCTCGCCCCCATTTTAACCGCATTCACCGAAGCGGGGCCTTTGCACATGCCCTTCAGACACCAGCTTCCAGCAACTGCTAAATATCTGTAGATCCTTTCTCGTGCATGATCTTGTTAATCATTAGGGTGAATCAGCGGACAAGCCAGCATGAGTACCTATCATAATGAACACCCATCACAGTGAACACCTTTTGTGGTCTTAAACAGAGATGGAAAAAGTACGACAAATATGCGTGAGGGCCCACATCATGGCAGACATCACTAAGCAATGCAGCTCAGATGGCGCCTCAGAGTCCTTCCCAACACAGAGCTGCAGGGAGCTATTGCCAACTAATTTGGAGTTAGCACACAAAACCTATTTGCTAGGTCTACCTTAGAGTCAGCCCAACTCTTTTGATAGCTGAGATTCTACACCATGTGATAATACTGTGGCCGTACAAATTGTATTTCACAATGGTAAGCAGTGTAGCTTAGATAGCAGCAGATATTCTGAATTCCTGTGCTAGTCCTCTGTGCTTCTGAACAAATCCTTATTTGTGTTTATAGCTTCAATGGCGAAAGAGGGCTAGCAATACTTATATTTCCACAAGGGTCTTCACGGGGATATATCAAGCAAACTTTAATAATAACACTTAAAAAACCATAGACAGATAGATGATAGATAGATAGATGATAGATAGATAGATAGATAGATAGATAGATAGATAGATAGAATATGAATATATATGTGGATTTTTTCAAATAATTTTATTTCACCAACCTATAAAAAGGAGTAAATATAATCATTTCCAAAATGTTGATGAAAACCTGAAAAAGGCCTAAGAAGCTGGGTATTTCTGGCAAATTACTGGGGGGGGGGGGGGAGTAGACAGTGAACAGTGAAATCTACCCCTGGTTTTCTATATACTCTTTCAATCTCTTGTCTCCCTTGACTTTTAAGAATGCTGATTTAAAACCAACTTCAAGACCCTTTGAGAAGCTGCAGTATAACAAACAAAAATATTCACAAAGTTATTATAGTTATATGGTGGGAAATGGAGTTTATGCTAAACCCATGGGCAATTAAAAGTCACAGAATTTTAGGTAAAGTCATTCTAACCTTACCCACCCTTCAGCTCATTCACCTTTCTCCTCATTAACTATCCTCCCACGATTCAGCCGGCCAGCCAGCTTCCAAACACCTACCCTTCTTTATTCCAACCATCCAGCCAGCCACCCAACCATTCATTAATATATGTATGCACGCATGAGTTCAAAAAGTATTTATTGAATATTAGGCCCCGTATTAGAGCTTGGGGATTCAAAGGTGGAAAACCAACGGTCCCCATCCAGAAAGAGTTGACAAGCCAGAGGAAGAGGCAGACACGTAAATAAAGTGCAAAGGTACAGATATGTTAATAAAGTACATCCAGAGTACCATGGAAATAAACGAAAAAAGATGCATGAAAAAGACGCCCCCATAATCTGCAAAAATAATGGAAAAAGATTTCAACAGACTCTTGAAGAAAGAATACGAGAGAAGTGGGAGATGTTTGACGGAGCAGAGCTCACGCGGAGCCCAGGGAAGAAGCGCGTGGCCCTTTCAGAGACCGCAGCTGGCTTGGCTTGACGAGGCAGGGAGTGTCCAGCAAGGAGAGGCAGGCTCTCCATACTCACCTGCTGGTGCGTGAGATCATTCATGAGGAAGTACCTGCAAAGATTCCTAGCCGCAGGCACAGGCCAGAGCTGGAGCATTCCAGGAGTGAGCATGTGCTCCTTCGGGCCGTGGTGCGGGCGGAGGCTGAGAGAGGCTGCTAATACACTGGATGCAGAACTAAAAACTATAGGTGGGTCAAGGCCAAGAGAGTATAGTGTCAAATGCCTCACTCAGGTCTGTGAGGAAGGTATAAGATTGGGGTGTAACTGCATTTGGGTTCAAAAATGGGAAATGAACCCTGGCCGGTTTGTCTCAGCGGTTAGAGCATCGACCTGAGGACCAAGGAGCCGTGGGTTTCATTCTGGTCAAGGGCACGGACCTCGACTGCGGTCCATCCCCAGCAATCAGCAGGGGTCAGAGTCGTGTGGGAGGCAACCAGTCGATGTATCTGTTTCACATCGATGTTTCTCTTTCTCTCTCCCTCCCTCCTACTCTATCTGAAGATAAATGGAAAAATATCCTCAGGTGAGGATGAAATTTTTTAAAAAATGGGAAATGAGATGTAGAAAAAGTAGAAAAGGTCGCATGCTGAAGGCAGATGTCCATTTCAAAAACTGATACAAATATATGACAGATAAGTTCCTAGATGCTAATATTTGTAATTACCCTGGGCAGGGACTACTTAAGACCCAGGGTCTTGTTCCTTGAGCCATGCTCACTTCTGCCTTAATAGCAAAGCTGTCCAATCAGTACCCAAGAAATCCGACTGCTTCGAGAGAGACTTCTTTCCATCTTAGGACAAGATTTCCCTTCTGTTCTCAGCACCTCGACTCATTTAGACTCAGTTGTACTTTCATAAGACTCTATAAAAAAATAAAAACAAGACAACAGTAACAACAACATCGTTTGAGCACGTCTGTCAGAAATCGCTTTTAAAATAAACACACAGAAAACCTGGAAGATGGCAGATAGGTAAACACAGTATAGCATCCTCCCACAACCACATCAAAGTTACAACTAAATTACAGAACAACCATCATTCAAAACTGCCTGAAATCAAGCTGAATGGAAGTCCTACAACTACAGAATTAAAGCAGCAGCCGCATGGAGACTGGTAGGAGGGGTGGAGGTGGACAGGCTCGTGCCACACCCACGTGTGGTGGATAAAAATCAGGAGGACACCTCGGCTGGGAAGGTCCTTCCTGAGGACTGAGGGATCCCTGTCCCACACCAGGCACCCAGCTCAGGGTTCCAGTGCCAGGAAGAGAGTCCCCATAACTTCTGCCTGTAAAAACCAGCTGGAACTGAGGCTCAGGGAGGCTGAAGCGGCTGGAGCCCCACGCAGCTCCTTTAAGGGCCTGTGCACAGACTTATCAGACTCACTCCCTCTAAGCTTGGAGGGGAGGCAGCTCCAGGGGCACCAGAGACATACAGGGAAGAACTGAGCTATTTGGCACTGGAGCGAGGGCTGGAGAGGGGGCTTTCTCCAGGACAGACGTGCTGTCAGACGTCTTTGTTCCTTTGGTGAGCCCTTCCCTGGGGTGGCAGACAGCCGCCATATCTGGGACTCCAGCAACCTGGCTCCCAATGATAGCCCCGCCCTGGTGACTCCCTGAGGCCCCGCCCCGCCCCACCCAACTTTCAGGCCCACCCAAGCTGTTGCCACTTGCTTAACCATAGGATTGGCCTGTCTTGGATCCTGCTTCAGGTTTTCCTAAATTCTTTCAAATAAGCAGCATCTGATCACAGCTAGCCCCATACCTCTCGTTAAGTAATACACAGAAACAAACACAGGGAGGCAGCCAAAATGAGGAGACAAAGAAACAAGTCCCAAATGAAAGAACAGAACAGAACTTCAAGTAAACAACTAAGCAAAATGAAGATAAGCAACCTAACAGATGCTGAGTTCAAAATACTGCTTATAAGGATGCTCAATGAACTTAGTGAGAACCTCAGTGAACTTAGTGAGGGCCTCAAGAGCTTAAAAAAGGACTAGTCAGAAATGATGGATGCACAGTCAGAAATGAAGGAGGCACTAACTAAAATAAAGAATAATTTACACAGCTTCAATAGTAGATTACGTAAATCCAAGAAGCAAACCATCGATTTGGAATATAAGGAAGCAAAAAACGCCCAATCAGAACAGCAAAAAAAGAAAAAAAGAATCCAAAAAAATGAGGATAGTGTAAGGAGACTCTGGGACAACTTCAAGTGTGTCAACATTCGCATCTTGGGGGTGCCAGAAGGAGAAGAGAGAGAACAAGAAACTGAAAATCTGTTTGAAACAATAATGGCAGAAAACTTTCCTAACTTGGTGAAGGAAACAGACATACAAGTCCAGGAAGCACAGAGAGTCCCAAACAAGATGAACCCCAAGAGGCCCACACCAAGACACATCATCATCAAAATGCAAAAGGTTCAAGACAAAGAGAGAATCTTAAAAGCAGCAAGAGAAAGGCAGCTAGTTACCTACAAGGGAGTTCCCATTAGGCTGTCAGCTGATTTCTCAAAAGAAACTTTGCAGGCCAGAAGGGAGTGGCAAGAAATATTCAGAGTGATGAAAAGCAAGAACCTACAACCAAGATTACTCTATCCTGCAAAGCTGTCATTTAGAATCGATGGCCATATAAAGTTTCCCAGGCAAGAAAATGTTAAAGGAGTTTATCACAGCCAAACCGTTATTATATGAAATGTTGAAGGGTATTTTTGAAGAAAAAGATAAAATATATGAACAAACAAAATGGCAATGAATACATATCTATCAACAATGGAATGCAAACAAAATGAACAGGCAGAACAGAAACATTCTCATAGATACAGAGAACATTTTGTTGGTTGCCAGTTGGGAAGGGGGTTGGGGGAATGGGTGAAAAAGGTGAAGGGATTAAGTACAAATTGGTTGCTAGACTGACAAACCTCAAAGGGAAGGGAGTTGGGGGGGTGGTGGGAAGAAATAAACCGAAGAATTTATATGCATAACCAATGGACACAGACAACAGTGTGGGAAAAGGCGGGAGGGGGGTGGGAGTGGGGAGGAGGAGGTCAATGGGGGAAAAATGAGGATGGTCTGTAATACATTCAACAATAAAGATTTTAAAATAAAATAAAATAAAAATGAATAAATAAAACACAGAAATAAATGAGAAGGGGGTGGAAAGCACCGCAGTTGCAGCAGGAAAACCTACTGGGAAATTGT